TTTGAGGACAAAGAACCCTCACTTAACGACAATGATATCAGTCGGGGGATGGTATGAGGGGTCGGAGAAGTACTCGGATATGGCTAAGGATGCAAACAGAGCCCGATTCGTGAAAAGTGTATTGGATTTCCTCCAAAAGTATGACTTCGATGGCCTGGATCTCGATTGGGAGTACCCGGCTAACAGAGGTGGTGATGAGGTCGCAGATAAAGGAAATTTCCTAAAACTGTTGGCTGACTTGAGGACCGCATTCGACCCGCACGGGTATCTCCTGACGGCTGCCCTCTCACCCGGAAAGCAAAAGATTGATGCGGCGTATGGGGATGTGCCCAAAATGAATGATCTATTAGATTGGGGTAATATAATGACATACGACTATCACGGGGGTTGGGAAGACATTCTCGGACACAACGCCCCACTCTATGGCCGACCCGATGAGACAGAAGGCGATTACCGATACTTTAATGTCAACTATACTGTCAATTATTACCTGTCGTTGGGTATGAAGAAGGAGAAGATGGTGATGGGAGTGCCCTTCTATGGCAGGGGTTGGACTCTCATGAGTAAAGATAAGCATAACCTCCACGACATTGCAAAGGGTATGTCACCCGAGGGTTTCATCGGTGGTGAGGCCGGAGTGTTGGGATATAATGAGGTATGCATTGAGAAATAAAATTGAATAGTAACTTAAATTATAATACAATTTATTTCCATAAGTTATGTCAATTGGAACTCAAAGATCCCTCGCAATGGCACAACACTTATGACCCCGACTATAGGGCGCCGTATGCTTATAACGACGAGATATTCATTGGCTACGAGGACGTGGAGAGTATTTCGTGCAAAGTATGCATTCATTAATATATGAGACAATCAAACAGAAACTAACCGTCAATTGTATTGTAATTATAGATCGCTTTCTTGAAATCCATGGGACTGTCGGGTGGTATGGTGTGGGCCCTCGAGAACGACGACTTCAAGAATAAGTGCGGGGGCGGGAAGAACCCCCTCATGAATAAAGTGCACCGTATGTTGAATGGCGATGAGATCAAGTCGCTTGAGTGTAAGTTCGCGCCCACCCCTACACCACCACCTCCAACCACACCGACAACTCAACCAACTACCCCACCAACTACACCGCCCACTACCCCTCCTACAACTAAACCCACAACTCAGGGGACTTCTCTGAGCCCAGGTGTTGACTACTGGTGCTCTCGGGATGGCTATATGCCACACCCCAGTGACCCCCATAAATACTTTCAGTGCGAATGGATCCCAGGCACGGGATGGTACCTCCA